ATGCAACATGAAAGACTGAGAATTCATGATGCTACATGAAAGACTGAGAATTCATGATGAATGGAAACGCATACACATTATTGAGCAAACTATCACACGAAACATTATATCCGCAATACATATCTCCACATGATCCAAATATATCAACAGTTAAATATTTCTGAAATATAATAATTAATATTTAGTACCGGTATTTCTCGTGTCAACCAATAAAAGTTTATATAATTTGTGTAACTGATTTAAATTAATTTTTCGAGTTAATCATTCATAATAGAAATATTTTTGTATAAAAAATTTCAAAAAGATTTAAAAAATTTTATAATTCTTAATGTTATCATAAATTTTCTCTTTATAATTAATAATAAATAATATTGTAACAAATGACAATAATTGAATGAAAATAATTAAAAATGATAACAATTATAAATGATAGTAATAATAATAAATAATATGTGAAATGAAAAGGGAACCTTTAAATAATCAACATAAAGTTCACGTTGACTTGCAGTTTTACAATTACTTACAAACCATGCAATTGGTATCGTTTTATTCCTTATAATATCATCATTAATTAATGAGCCTAAAGGCTTTGAAGCTTTTGCTAATTTCACCGTATATCCATAAGGTGATGAAATTGGACTATTACGAATAAAATTCAGTGATAAATTGAATGATAAATCATTATCGATTAGATAATTAGCTGCTGATTCCTGAAACAATATCATAATATTTTATTAAAATTAACTTGTTAATTATTTTGATCATTCTTGAAACAATATCGCAATATCGTTTTTTTCCTAAAAAATTTATCATTTATAGATTATCAAACAATTCCTGATACAGCACTATAATATTTAATCAGTACTTCAATATTTAATCAATATAATTTATTCAATTATGTGTTAATTTATATTTGTTCAGAAAAAATTTTAAATTTGTAAATATATCAAAATACAATTAATTATTATTGCAAGAAAAAAAATAGTTTTTTTTTTTTTTAACAAATACTGTTATAGTATATAATTAAACTTGTCATACAAATAAAATGATTCTACTATTTTGCTAATCAATTTACAGTATACATTTATTTTGCTAAATTAATTCACAGTACTATCAATTTTTTTTATTTTTTGCTTTTTGCAGAAAAAAAATTACTTAATTTTTAAATAATTCTCAATTTTTTACGCTTATATTCTTGTTTTATTTGTAAATAATAAAAAAAGTGATAGTTAAAATGATAATTGAGAAAAAATGATAATATAGAATAACATCTTACAGTTTCTTTTATTATTCATTTCCAATTTATCATTATGTGTAAATTTTTGAGATAAATATTATCACCTGAGTAAAGAGTATGTAATACTGATTGGAATATTGCTGATATCGTTGATAATGTTTTGTCAACGTATTGATCAAAATAGCATCTGGTATTGGCATAATTATATTAGATTTTTGATAACGAACTTTACAATTCCATTCTTTACAACCACCCATATTAATATCAGATATTTGAGTTATCCCATAACTTAATTCAATAATTTTCACACTTTTATCTGAAATTATTTGTATTATAAATTAAAAAAAAAAAAAAAAAAAAA